ACTTTTAATTCTATTTTTGAATTTATTAGGTTTTTGTTATATTTTTTATATGTGGCTAGTTTTAATTCTCTGTCCAAGAAGGTGATGTAACGTCCACTCAAAGAGGTTGCAACCTTTATAAATTTACATAATAAATTGATTGTCTTTTTTTTCGAATTTAGCTACTTCTAATTCAATTTATTCAATTGTAATACTTTCTGCATTTTTAATTGACAATTATATGGAAATAAGTTCATTGTTAGTGTCAAAAACCGTTATTTTCGAAACCTTAGGTTAAGTATTTACATTAAAAATCCTTCGTTCGTTGACTTATCTGTTCGTTCCAATCTCGTGTACAGCACAAACCCCGGTATCGTTGCATGCCGTCGCACACGGGTTGCCGCTGTCGTGTCCCTCTGCCAAACAACCATACACACCTCACCAACAGAATCAGCACCTTACTACCTTGCAATAAAGTCTATAACAACAGCAGCGTTAAATTTGTGCATCATCGCAGTCCCGCCATTTTATCCGGTTCACCAAAATTCTCAAAAACCACCTTTAATACTATAGCTATAAGGTTTGTGTTGAACGAAAATGAAATTTGGTTGTAAAATCCCCGACATTTGCTCTAAATTGCCTCAAAAATGGTAGTTAGTACGTCGTAATAGGGACGTAAATATCCGCATTGATCTTCAGTCAGAAGGAGAAGCTGTAGTGTTTTGATTTTAAGCGCAAGGGATTTTGATCTTTATCTCTATGAAGATAGGGTGTTTTGAAAAACTTGGATCGACTTATGAATAGATAGTTACCTGAGTTTTTACTGAGACACCCGTAGCATTGTCTATTGGTAACATTCTTATGCAGTTCTCGTGTTAGCATGATGATAATTTCATATTAATACATTGAATCATTTACAAAATTATAGTTTGCATTGTCCTAACTACAGAACTTACTTGTTGAGGCTCTGTTCGATCTACTATCTCCCTCTCTCCTATGCAAGATAGAGGGGACAGGATTATTAGTTCAGGTAGGGAAATTATCATGCATACTTTTTGTTTTCTGACCTCTATGTATATCGTTATTAAGTACTAGGTAGTGTTTTGTTTAATTGTTGATTGCCAGTTTCGATGTAGAAAACAGCAGGTCAAGCTATTCTTTATTAGGTATATGACCAAAAGTCTTTTGGTTTTCATCTTCACTAACAAAATCAAAATATGTGACTATCCGGATTTGGAATATGGGCCTTTCTACATAATTAATTTTATAGGATTAAGGATTGGTTTGTTAGTATTTTAAGTAATGTTCTATGAGATTAAGGATTATTAGTTTGTTAGTATTTTAAGTAACAACTACTGAACGTATTGGAATGAAATTTGCGATACCTAGAGATTAAGACCATACCGTCTTAAATAGTATCTAAGATAATTTTCGTTCCCATATAAATTGTTAGAAAGAACAAAATATATACCTGCTACTTACTAGCTACTCTCGCGCGATTTCAGTCACTGCTCTGTTCCTACAGAGCGTAGCGTGATGTTTTATAACCTACTTACAGCCTTCCTTGATAAATGGACTAAAAAAAAAATAACTGTTCAATTTGAACCAGTAGTTCCGGAGATTAGCGCGCTCAAACAAACAAACTCTTCAGCTTTATAATATTATAAAGTACTACCTATTCCCGCGCAGTTTCACTTGCTACTCGACTCCATTTGATTGTAGCGTGATGTTTTCATGCTCGGAAACATCGTAGCTATCTATCAGTGAAAGAATTTTGGAAATCCGACCAGTGGTCCCAAAGATTACCCCTACATACAAACTTACAAACTTACAAATCTTACCTCTTTATAATATTAGTATAGATAGATAAAACTTGAAAATCATAGTTGATTTTAAGGCAGCATTGAACTCGACGGGTCTTTTAGTAAGTATGCAATAAATATACCACAGCGTACTGCGTTAACGCATCGAAGTAACAGATACGAGTGCACACGTTGCGGCTCATTACGCATGCGTAACATTTTATCATGTTCTAAGGTTATTGTGGTAACGGCACGGCGGCATAACAGCAAATACAAATATACAACACCGCCGAGTCTTCGTCTTTGAGAAATTTCAGAAGGTTTTTTTGTAATAGGTCCCGATTCTGTAGCAAAACTCGGTATTGCTACAGTATTGGGACTGGTTTTGCGATTTGCTACCAATACGGGACCAGCCAACCAACACTTATGGTACATCAGAAGTGCCAATCTCTGAAAGTGTGTGTTCTAATGGTGTAGAAATTTTTGAATATGGTTTAGAGAATTATTTTTGTTGCAAACCAATAAACAATCAATTTTCTCTTCATATCTTCCCTTCTGTAGAAACACTTCTCGTTAACAATCAAAAGCCTAACATCACCCAATGCTTCATCTTCATCAGCATAATAATTATCGGCTACAAGATGTCCACTACTAGACTCAGACCTCATCCAACAACCTCAAGATTGGCCTAGGGCCCAAGACTGCTATTTCCAAAATATTGTCATTCCAACACGATTCCATTGTCATTTTGCTAAAAGTTCGTAATCTGTTAATTCCAAAACATAAATCTTAACAAGGCTTGCCTTTCCAGATTTCTGTGGTTAATTCATAATGGCTGATAATTGGACGGTCAGCGGTGTCGCAATAGAATTGTGATATAATTATTCCGTCAAATATTCATTCAAAGTACTTTCAATGAAGTGTAACTGGTTGATCATTGGCTTACCTGAGGGTAAGCAATCGGCGCCGCTCAAAGGAGTTATGAGTGCGTTGCCGCCCTTTTGGGTATAAGGGTTGCGGATATTAAAGGATTTGGAAGGAATAAAGGGAGGGGGGAGAGATTGGGCCTTCGGTAACCTCATTTACACGGCGAAATACAACGCTGTGGTTGTTTTATGCCGATTTTCTGTGCGGCCGTGGTAACACTCCGGTCGAGTCGACCATTTTAGTAGACTTGTCAACATCAACAATTTTGAAATCAATGATCTAGAATACCTAGTGATTCTTACACTACATATTGTAAAAGAAGACTTGAGGCTTTGTTGGAAGCGACCAGTATTCACTCCAGCTTACAAAAACAATTCCCACAAACATTCCTTTCCACAACTTTCGAACAAAAAGCAACAGTTGTTCGTGGACTATTTCGTCGACACACTTACTCACAAGTATGGCTGGCTTCTTAGTCAGCCGTATGAAGGATGAATACTAATTCCCAGCGATTGTATCGAAAGCGATGAATGTGAGGCTAGCGTGTACAATGTCATGCTTCGTTACCCACCGCTGTCCGGTTATTGCCACCGATTATATAAAAATCTTATGTGCTAAAACAATTTGCTAGACAGATTCTAGAATATCGAACATTCATATAAGAATCGATGTTCACGTAACTATGAAATGATTGAAAAAAAATGGAGCGAAAATTTCGTCGTTTTTATCATTAGACTTTAGTATTGTTTTTTGGTTTTGGTTTCAACAGCAATTCTATCACTGCTTCCTTTCAGCAGTTACTACATACGTACAGTCTTATTGATAAAGAATGAAAGCAAATGTATCAAGAACCAAGGCATTGCGTCCGGATCAATTCATCAAACCCCAAGCACCGGCGTTCGCGCACGTATTGTTTACTTGTGTCTCATATTACTGCGATTGAAAGTTTATCTTCTCCTATCTGCCATTATTTTTTGGTTGTCTACCATCAATTGATCCGTCAGCTTTTACTGTTTGTATTGTCTGTCCTATCCTTACCATTCGAGTCCAGTAACTTAGTTACAAGACATCAGCACAGTATGTATTCTTCCTCCATTTGCCTGTAACAAACGTTATTCATAAGGTAATTCAGAGGAAATTCCAAAAGGAAAAACATCCATTCAATACGTGGATCCATTAACTGACTGGACCATTCAACCACTAGTCTAAACGAACACTTGAGAAGAAATGAAACGCTTGAAATACATTGAACATTATTATAATATTTAGTTCACAAAAACAACATAATGCTTGCCCTGTATAACATTTCGTGAGTGCTCTCAATTAGGTTGATGTCGGAATGAACGAGATGGTTCGCACCTGTGCCTCCATTCTATTTATAATTAACACTCTACGAATATACGTTTTAAAATGTGTGAAATATTGGCGTTACATTTCACCTGCGCGTAAACGCCTCGCTTTTGTGTTTCCTTGGCCACCGCACCGAACTGGCTAGGTTATGTGATGAAAATCCACTTCTTGGTTAATTTACTTGACATCAGTTGCTTAAGATGAACTATATTAAAGTAAAGTTCTCTTTCTTATTTTTTTCTCAATAGTCAAATATTAATCTCGTTGCTAAACGAAGCTAGTATTTTCAAATGACGCAATGATCTTAAATCCTCATCTTCTTCACGATCATGCATTGATGGATTGAGTCCGTTATTAAATATTTCTCATATCATTTTCCTACGAAGACTGGAATCAACTCTGTTTTAACTAGATCCAAATTCTTCTACATCTTCTTACCACTTCTTTTTTGTAAAACTTATTTTATTCTAGTGCAACACACACTCATCAACTTGCCTTCTATCGATAATTGATTCTGCCTTATTAATTATAGCATTCTCAACTAAGATAAGTAAACATGTGTCTTCAAAATTATGCAGGACAATGCACCTACTATGCTAATCATATTCACTCGTGTGGTCCGTTGCACCTTGCATTTAATTCGTTCGAGATTGTTTGCATTCGTGTGGTCTAGGGCTCTAGGGTCTAATTTTTGGGTGGTCTACAACCATCGAGCCTGGGGAACTTAAGAATCAAGACCACCTGTTAACCAATAATAAGGCTACTAAAGAATTCCTTGTCTTAATTAGAAACTTTTTAATGTCCAGACCTCTTTGTACACAAAATCAGAATTATAGCCATATTTAATATAGGTAAATATAATGTTGTGTATTCCATTTCCGATTTTATCTTTGAGATTTTAAACTCCATTCTAGATTGACTTGTTTTCTGGTTTTAATTGTTCTATGAATTTAACGTGGTGGAAATTGACGAAAACATCGAGTCTATTTGTATACTGTCTTCAGTAGAGCAAAGTATGACCACGATCTGCTTAGGATCTGAAAATTAATAAGAAAACTTTAGCATTAAGATTTTCGGAAAAGGCTTTAAAAAGATTTATTCATAAATTATAACTTAAAACAGAAGCTGTAGTGATTCTCATAATTAAATTCAAATTTGAAAGAAAGAAAAAAAAGCGTTATTCTGGACCACAAATTTATTATTGAAAAGAAAGAAAAAAGTTGATGTTGACGTATCACGATATCTTAAACATAGTCCAAAAAGAAAGCTAAAAAGTCGTCTCACAAACGTAAATTAAAAAGCCGTAATTAATGATCTTAAAGACACGTATAGGGATAAAACAAAAAAATGTGAAGACTATAACTGAAGCAAAGATAAAACGAAACATCAGTACCATTGTAAGTAGACATGTAAGAACAGCCGGTATCGAACAGCCATCTTATAAAACGGGCTTTAAAAGTATGTTATTACAATGTGACTGTACAGAATGGGCTCAAAAGGTTCATATTATAGATCAGACTAATAATTTTGACCAAGCTATATTTTTCGTTAAATTAGAGGTAGTGAACATTGTATAGGACTTTAAATGGGACGATGATTTGGTTTCGTAAAATAATCTGTTACTTACGTTATTTTTTTTTTTTTAACAAAAACGTTGCCCCTCACAAGGATTTTCTTTAGTGTCGTAGGTGCGTTTACAGTTTCACTTGCACAAGCCTCTCAGACCCGGAACAATAGTTCGTGAATCACTCAAAGTGTAGTTCCGTGCGGGAATCGAACCCTCGACACCGTGCACAACAGCCAGTTGCCCAGCTGCTGTGCCAACCGTTCAGTCTTTAATCTTAAAAGCCATTGGCGTTACTAGGGACTCCGTACATTTCACAACGAAAGAAATATGCATTTAAGATAATATACCATTATCACTGTAATCCAAAAATAATATTATAAATGCGAAAGTAACTCTGTCTGTCTATCTTTTCTTCACGCCTAAACTACTGAACCGATTTCTGTGAAATTTGGTACAGACATAGTTTGGAACACGAGAAAGGACACAGGATTAAAAATTTTTATACCAAAAATCTGCAGGAAGTCACTATTTCTAGTTGTCAATATAAGAAAGACTTGAACCACCAACGAGTAAAACGAAATGATACTTTTGTCAAATCACCTTTCATACGAGAAATGTCGTGTTATGGATTGTTAGCAGCTAAAAATAACTCACCGTAGTGAATGCCCCTAGGTTGAGGTCCGCAAACTTCCATGCTGTCAGCCTGCATGCCTTGTGGGACCTGCAACCATGCATTACTGCGAGGGATGAAGGCCGGTCAATGGACCGGGGTGCGTATACTACAATGGTTACAATTATACGCACTCTTAGCTTTGTAATGTTTAGGATTACTCCAATTAATTACTTATCGTTATAGTTTTTGTCAGAATAACACCCGGTTTCTGAATGGCTTGTCAACGCTAAAATTATTTAATCTCCTGTTAAATCTCTTGTCATGTCATCTGATTGGTTGTTGATAATTCAGTCAACCAATCAGATGATTTCACAAGAGATAAATTGATTTAACATTGATCGGCCTTTCGGAAACCGGGTGTAAGTATCTTATCTATACTTAGTTTTTTTATGGAATCGAGGATAAACTAAGAGACAAATCATGTGTTTGTTCGGCGGCGTTAACCCATAGATCATCATATATAACTTCTCTCGCTCTGGATGGGACGAGACCCCTCTCATTCCATCCATCCTCTTGCGTCAGGTTCTTCCTGACTGTCACCCCTTGGTACATTATTGCGTTTGACCCGCAAACCCCAACTGATAGATAGCTTGAAGCCGGAGAATAGTTGATGATAATGAAACGTATGCAACGTTACATTATAACATTATTTTGGATAGTTAATTATTTTGATACAGAGACAATAAATTACACACCTCAGTATTACAAACAGTATGGTCTTTTTCGAATCTTGATCTGCTTCATACCAGGGACATTTGTAGACCGAATCACTTATTTCAATACTCTGTAACAAAATTAGCTCTGGATTATTTTCGAGACCTTACTCCTTTTAATCATTTAATTCAATTAATTAATCATTTATTTATTTAGGTTATATTAAAACGGATTAGATCAAATTACATAAATTTGCCTCGTCAATTATACCGCGTACATCGAGGGATTGGAACAGTTTGCCGGCTGCAGTCTTTCCGTCCGAATACAATTTAGGTGTCTTCAAGGCTAGAGTGAATAGGCTCTTAATAAACTAGTGCGCCTTACCATCAACGATTGCATCACTGCTTACCATCAGGTGGGATCGCAGTCAAGCACTAGTTTATTGCAAGTAAAAAAAAACAACCAAAACCAATAAAAAATAAGAACATTCATAAGTTCCTCTCGCAGTCCCATAAAATTTCCTTCCATCCATCTGCAAATTAATCAATGGTTGGATTAGATTCCAGGAGATCGTTAAGCGAGACTAGAGTGCAAGGAATTGGTGACAGTTCAAGATTGGGGTACAGTAAACACCCTGTGCTTTTTACCTGGGCAGTACCTAGTTGTTTGGTATATAAAAGCAATAGCGATATCATAGCTACTTTAACACGTCAAAGACCATGGGGGTCACCGGTGACCTCCTTTAGCGGTGGATTTGCCTGCAACTGTTTTCTGTCAGCAGTCAAAGGCTTAAAAAATATCTCCTAAATTAATTTTTTAATTTGTTGTATCTGGGTTTACGAAATTATATCTCAATACCTGAACCAACATTATGGAATAGCAAACCAGACAATACTGCTAACATAAAACCTTCTTTGACTAACTATTGGGAGCGATTCAGCTCTGCTACAGTTCTTGTCCATCAATTGGCAACCAATTTATGTGTGGTGGATTGAACTATTGAATTTGATAGTCTATCTATAGTCCTAAGTTTGGTGATCATTTTAAAATTGTACAGTTGCATTGACCTGTTCTTATAGAATCAATTCCAACAGAAGCGATCTTGAAACTAAAATTTGACATGTCATATCAATCACGTCGATTTACTTTTCTGTATTATAACTAATGTCGTGGACCTAGTTTGCTGTGTGATGATCGCTGCGTCGTTTGTCGAGTACTCAATACTTCAATGAATGTGAGCCTTTAAAGCATCTTAAATTTAGTTGTGTTCCACATCAAACAGTTATTTGAGTAAGCGATTGAATATAATAATAAAGTATCTTTTCTATTTACTCTTTTGTTTTTTTTTATATTCATATTATTTATTGCATTCCATAATGTAGGTATATAAGGTGGAAAAGTAAATATAAATTTGTCACAATTATGGATCCTGATGGGCACAGAAATGCGTTTTTCTACAGGGCTTTGTATTTCGTTGATTTTTCAACAAGGTCCAACTGTACGCTGAGACTAATGAGGCAGGCTAATTCAATCTTTCGGTCGATCTCCTAGCTTTTATACGTATTTTGTCTAGGGAAATTATAACTTACCGATATCATCAGCAAGTCTGCGAAGTAGCACACCAGTGATATCTGCGACAGACTCATCACCAGGAAAGTGATGAAGGCGAGAATGAAGCGCATCTCATCAGCTACCTGGAGTGATGTCATACTTATAGATAGTTATTTTTCCCGTATGTTGATGGCAGATAATACTTTATTAAAACCACCTACACCCCGACGTGGAGTATGTCGTGGAAGCTCAGAGCCTCTGGCGCCCGCTTCTCATTCATGAGAAGAAGGAGTTTGAAATCTAACAAGTACCAAAGTGACTTCTTCCGAGTGATAAATGTACTTTCTAAGATTATTTAGACACGACTAACATACGGTGGAGGAAAACATCGTGAGGAGTCATGGACCGATAAGTTTAATATCTTGAGCAGGCATGGTGTTTAACGCTCAATCCTTTTCGGTGTGAGAAGAATTCTTTGCTTACCAGTGGGCACTTATGGACAGATAATGATTATGAACCTTATCTTCCTGATAAATTCGGTGGCATAAACGCTGATTAAGGAAGGCTCTGTGGTAACCCCGTGACTGAGCATGACGATTGCAGTAAACCTTTTTTTGTGATGGAGGTCCTTCATCCAATAGTGGAGTCTCCCAAAATATTAAAGAATTTTTAATGTTCGTTCGCAACCCAATATAGAACAATTATTTAGAATCCAAAACACATAAACTTACATTGCAACAAAACATCATTATATTTACCGTAATGTTGAACGCGCTGAGACAAATTAGGATCGAACTAGTAACCATATTGAAGAGCGATGATTTCGAAAACAAAACCTCCATTTGATTGACGAGACTGAAAGATAAGACACAGTTAGTTATAAAGATAGTGACCAAAACGTAAAAAGAATTGTGTGAGGTTAAAAGTTTATTCGAACTCTTAGATCCTCTAACCCCTATAACATTAGCTTATGTTAAGCTAGACTGCGGAAGGAGGTGCAATTTTAAGCGACACTACTCCTATCTAGCGTCCAATACTTTCTAAATAGACAATATAATCTTTGTAATGTAAATTTGCGTTTTTCGATACTGTTTGTTTAATTGATCAAACTCTAAGCCGGCGATCGCTTGGAACGCCGGTTTTAACGCACCTGTAGTTCTTCTATTGTGTCTGAAACTGAACTGAATTACCACGAATGAAAGGTTAAATCTATTTACATAAAAAAAACCCCATTACCCTTGGCCAGAAGGAAGAACCTTAGAAAAAAAAATTATAGGCCATAATCGGGAAATAGTAAACTTGCCATGGAGGCAGTGACCACTATCAGTCGGCAGGAATGGGCCGGCTCGCGGTTCGTGTGTCACGGCCTCACATAAAACCGGCGTGAAACAACCATGGCGTTGTGTTTAGCTGTATCAGTGATCAGTGAGGTTACCGAAGCCGAATGCTTTCCCTCCCCCATAAATCTCTGAAACCTTAATCCCTAAAAGGCCGAGATTGCTTACCATCAAGCGATCCGTCATCCATCCGTCGTTTACCGACCTATCACATAAAAAAGAAACGCAGAAAAAATACAATGTAACCCAACACACTACTTGATAGGAAAGCAGAATTATGTCATTACTTTACCGTATTTCCCTGCCATATTAATTCTGAAATAGTATGCTTAAGTTATGTGCCATTCAAGTGGCAAGCAGTAGCCGTGGTTTATAGTAAATAATTCTTAGAAAATAATTACTATTCCACTCACTCAAATGCTCATAAAGGCAGTAATGATAAAATTTTATCGTCTTTTCTCGGTACGCCTATAAAATGTTAGTAAACGCTTCGGTTGTATATTAAAACAGCTTTGGTTTTGGTTTTAACTAGCTATTACTTAAGTTAAGCTTTTAGCATATATATATTAAGGGCAGAGGTAGGGTAAAAAAAAATAATCCATTGCCGCACACTAGGATTTTCTCCTGTGTCGTGGTTGATGGTGGAAAATTGTGGTTGGTTGTTGTTCTGCACACCCAGACCCGAAACAACAATTTGTAGATCACACAAAGAGTTGTTTCGAGCCAGAATCGAACCCGCGACACGTTGCACGGCAGCCAGTTGCCCAGCCACCGCACCCACCGCGGAGTCAATGCAGGCTTATGCACCTGCTTCTCATGTAGACTTAGGTTGACAATCAATTTGACATTTTCCGAACTCTTTGTACTTTCTAAGTATATTTAGATCAGGATTCACCAGTCCCCTTTAACGGGCATGGTAATTATTGCATTGCTCAGCAGTGGGCACTGATAATGATGATGAATATATTTAATAGTCGTGAGAAGCCAAACGGACTGTCGGATTCAGATACAGAAGTTGCCGGCTTTTGTGGAGAGGTACGGGAAACTGCTGTAGCTGTACTCATACAGCGATGCGGGCGCAAGCGAGACTTTTCGGAGCAGAAGAGGATACGAGGTGGTTTTTAGTCAATAAATGGTTGTTGAATGTTTCCCCTCCCCCACCCCTCAAAAAGGCATTGGTTTACGTCAATGTTCACAAACAAGTTAATGACTAATTTTTAATGACATTAAAAACCTCCTTTCAAAAATAAGTTTGGTTTAGTTTTCGTTTTCACACAATAGAAACATCACATTTATTTATTTAAATAAAAATCAATGCCACTTTTCGTTGTAATGTTATAAGTAACTCAACAATGCATTCACCGATTTGGCTAATTTTGTTCTTGAATTATTCGTGGAAGTCCATTGAAGGTTTAAAAGGTCCAAAACTTAAAGTTACTCGTATATTTGAAGCTGTAAGGAGATCGCCATGTCAGCTAGTAACTTAAAAAGAAGGACCACACAGACTCTTACTACAAGTGCTAGTACGAATTGTTATTCAACTCACGTAAAGCCTAGGTAAGAATGGGAGTGCTCATAATATTTATTTATTTATTCAAATCACAGCTAGTCGTTATTAATTTAACGTTTTATGATCAACTACTGAGTAAGTCACACGAGTGCACATCTAGGTTATTGGGTAACGCGTTAACTTTCCAGTTTATGACATTGCCAAGGTTGATGGTGCTCCGAATGTTATTTGGTGTATTCGTAGTTTAAGATTTTTAAGTGTGGGAGAGCCATGCTTCGGTACAAATGGGTCGGCTCAACTGGAATGATAGCACGGCCTCACAGAAAAATGGCGCGAACCAACCACAGCGGGGTATTTCACCATGTGATTGAGGTTACAGGAGGCTCAATCTTTCCACTCCCTCACCCCTTCCCTTATCTCTATAATATATCCAAAAATATAATACCCAAAAGGTCGGCAATAGATTTTGGATATGATTGTATTCCTGTCTATATTACTTGTGAAAGCTAAAAATAATTACTGATCACAACACACTAGAATTTTCTCCTATGTCGTGGCTACAAACATACAATATCACATACAGACCCGGAATAACAATTTGTGGATCACACAAAGAGTTGTTTCATGCGGGAATCGAACCCGCGGCCCAGCCACTCTAATCGTTTACTTTATTTGTTTTTGGATGCATTATTTACAGTTACCTAATGCTTTTGTGATATTACTATAATCCACCATTTTAGCTCCATTATCTTACTTGTTCCTTATTCCTTACTTCCTCTTTATTTCTTGGACATAAATCCTACTTACTCTATGAGTTCCTGGTGTCTCTCCACAGCCATCCCCAAGTTCTTTCTAGTTTCATTTACTGACACAGACACCGCTTTCTCGAATTGTAGTCCAAGTAAACGAAAATGCATTTTAATGTACACACATAGAGCACAAAATAATGTGTCACATCCGTATATGTTGAAGATTACTATGGCAGCTGAAATAAGACATTCTTATTAGGATTTAGGAAAACCAAACGAATTCGTATTATTAAAAACAGTGGGATTTTGTTGACTGTTTGTACTCGTATGCATCAAAGCCTATTTATTATATATTATTCATCTATACTAATATTTTATAGAGGTAAAATTTGTAAGTAAGTTTATATGCTTGTAGGTTTGTATGTAGGGGGTAATATTTGATGATAGATGGCTGCAATGTTCCTGAGTGCTATAGGCTATAAAACATCAAGCTACGATCACATAGAGCTGAGCAGCGGGCGAAACCACGCGAGAGTAGCTAGTTCCTAAATATTTTGGATGCTATAATCTCATGATTGCCGGAGTGATACCACGGACGCAGAGAAAACCAGCAAAACTTACGTTGTGTTTTGCCGTGTGAGTGAGGGTATCCGAGGCCCAATCCTTTCCCCACCCAATCCTTAATCCTCAAATCCCCTATCCTCAAACTCCTAATAACCCACAAAAGCCAACGCGCTGGTAGTGTCTCCTTTGGTATTGCGAGTGTCTATGGGTGGCTGATAGCTTACCACCAGGTAATCCGTCTGCTCGTTTGCCGACATATCGCATATAAAAAATCAAATTAAAATTAGAATTATGTAGATTTATTATATAAAATTAAGTATTGCCATTCAACGTGGCTATACTGCCAGCCTTTTGAATACTTGACCTCATGACAGCGATTGCTATTTTTAGATTATTTATAGCATTGATGTTTTGAATCATTAAGTACATTATTTTCGGTTGTACATAAAAATTTATAATAAAATAATTGTTAAAAATTATTATATAAAAATACACATCTGAGTCATGTTCAATTTCTTAGGAACGACATTTTTATTGTAGGTATTACGTTATGCTTGTTAATATAATACCTATACATATTTAGGTACTAATAAACAACCTGATTCACCATTGATTGAGTCATTCATTCTCAATTAAATTCATAAAATAACAAACGAAATATTAACAAATTAACTTATGTAACCCAATGGGTTTAGACACTAATTTATCTTGATAGTATAAAAATAGACTTTGAAATGTGTTGGTAAACGCATATCTAGAGAACGGATGAACCTTAGGAGGCTTAATCCTTCCCCTTCTCCATCCGTCCCTAATCTCTAGGTACACTCAAAAGGCCAGCAACGCGCTTGCAACCTCCCTGGCGGAGGCTGTCGAAGTCAACTGCTTACCATCAGGTAATCCATCAGCTCATTTGCAACCATATCACATAAAAAACAAAAGCATAAATGTTTCGATTCCTTCCATTCTTGACTGTCGTAATATTGATTATTGCAGCTTACAAAAATGTTAGAAAGTATTTTACTTACTTGCCCAAACTTGGTGCACATACACGAAGAACCACAGCGAAGACTTGTAGACCTCAAAGAAATATTTAACTTGGAAAGGATAGACGAAGGCAAACTCTCCAGTCTTCAAGTAGTTATAGCTAGAGAGCAAAGCAGGGCTGAAGCAAAACGTTGTGAACACGAAAATGTACACAGTCATAAGGGAAACATGAACAAATTTTAACAACTTCATCGAATCAGTGACAATCTTGCATTTTATCGCATCCGTCTTCTCCAGCGATTCTTTGTTAACAATTGGCTGTATAGCTTTCAATCTCTCCACGACATTTAGCAGAATTCCTTTATTTGTATAAAGGAACCATGTCTTTACTGTGCCCAGAATGCTTATTGTAATACAGGGTGATATTAAGGACAATTCCACGAATGGTAAGCGGTTTTGTATGCCCGCCACCACCCAGTACATCTCGCCGATTATAACTGTGTGCAACGCGATGAAGTTACAATAAAACAGATAGTGGTTTATTAAATATTCCAACGCTTTATTCATTTTTTCATTCGATATTTTTATTCCAGATATTACAAGAGCGTGCCTCGTCAGTTTTAAAGTTTCATAGAATTCTTTGTCTGACATTTTTGGTGCTTCTTTATTTGAATTAAGTTCTATTTGACTATTATGTGTTACAGATTTTGGATTGAAATTATTATTTTTTTATGTAATATGTGTTACTTTATCCACATCGTCAATTGAAATGGGTTTTATGAAAACAAGTTCTGTTTTATCTTCCACCATTAATTAAGTTATTGTAAAATCTCTTTGAACAAAGTAAAGGTGTCCGGCTTTTTTAATTATAAATTCCGAACGTCAATTTCTAATTAACTTCACTATAATTATTTAGGTCCAAACATTCTTATTAATTATCTATTTAGCAGTATGTAATTAGCTCATTAATACTAAACTAGAAGTAACAAACACGTATGCTATTTATTATGTATGTAAAGTAATAATACAGTAAATTATTATCTACTAACTTCTGTCAGTGGCTTTGCCCACTCTGCTACAAGTAGCCTATCTGTTATTCCAGATTATAATCTATCTATAGGCCAATTTTATTAAATACATGCCACCCGCCCCGGCTTTGGGCGTGTGCAATGCTAACACTACATTTCTTGAATGGATGTTATTATACAAATAACTATCCTCTTAAATCATTCTATCTATCGAAAAAACAGGAATATAGAAAGTAGTAATATAGTCCCTTTCTATATAGGAATATAGAAAGGGACTTTGTTCCAGACTATGTATTGATAATTCTTCTTTTCATAAATGAAGATATGGTTTTTGAATAAATCATCTCGCCTGCTCAAAATGGATTGGCCATTTAAAATTTCAGGAATTTTAAGTTCAGGATTTAAATGTCCAAATTATCTTAGAAAGTACATACTTCTCGGAAAAAGTCACATTGATTTAAAAAATGTTGCCCCACTCTAGAATTTTCTCCTGTGTCGCGGGTGCGGTTACAAACATACAAATGTCAACCAGACCCAAAATAACAATTTGTGGATCACACAAAGAGTTGTTCCGTGCGAGAATCGAACCCGCGACACGTTGCACGGCCGCCAGTTGCCCAGCCGCTGCACCAACCGTTCAGTCAAAATGCATATTTTATAAGAATCAATAACAAGCTACAAGTTAACAATTGACCAGTAAGTAGTTCTAAACAAAAATGTCGCCGTTTCTGATAGTTTAATAAACCGTGAAATGTCTGGTGAATATAATACGCAAGTGGAAACCTAATTACAAATGTGTAATTATGTAATTTTAACGCTAATGTTAATTAGCTTTCATTTCAGTTTTGAGTCATAGGAAAACAAAAGGTGAATGAGTATTGTTTAACATTCAGCCTTGTTATGTACAGCTCGCCGCCCGACCAGAACCAGGCTCGAGCGTACGGCGCGTAGCGCTCCGCGCGCGCCTCAAAGAGCCAACAGACCACCACAGACGGGGCTTATATTATATAGGGCTGATGTTCAGCCGGGGTTGCGGGGTAAGCGCAATGAGGCACCGCGACCTCGGCCCAGAGCAGGAGAAGCAACAGGGGGGTTTTTAGTCAGTAAGAGTCTGACACTCCCTCCCGCCCGGCCCTGGGCGGGAGAAGTCATTTGATGATTTTCCCCTCACAAAAAAAAGCCTTGTTATGTTTCAAAAATACTGTGTAGGTTCCGTTTCCACAAGATGGTTGGGGCAAACGCCAATGATTGGGTTCTTTATATAATTATTGTTAGAATAAGGCTACGCCGAGGTTGTGCAATGCTTGCCTGCAACGGTCTTCCCGTCTAGTTATGATTTAGGTGTCTTCAAGGCTAGAGTGAAGAGACTCTTAATAAACTAGTGCGCCTCACCATCAACGATTGCATCACTGCTTACCATCAGGTGGGATTATAGTCAAGCACTAGTTTATATGTTTGTATGTACGGCCTCGACCTGGAGCAGGGATATTTTTTTGTCAGTATGAGTCTGACACTGAGGGCAGGAGAAGTAATTTGCCCATATCCCCTGACGGTTATAAAGCTGATGGTAGAACTAAAACGTTATCTGCATTATATTTCAAATGTTTTACAAATCACTTGCAAGGTGCAAGTGATTTGTGTGGTTCAATTAAATCTATTCAACAAATAATTATTAAGCAATATTGAAACTTTTAACAAAAATAAGTACACACAGTCGGCAATTCCTTTGCCACTTCAAAATTCGTACCCATCATTTAAAATGTCGGTGCAATTTTCGAAAAACAAAAAAACTGCCGGCTCCTAATTAGAGACGCAAGCCCTTGAGAATCCTGCCAAAACGTCAGACTATTATGATCGATCGCTGACAATAAGAATAATAATCTCGCCCGTTTCCAAAAACTCTCGTGGCTTTGATCCGCCGTTGGAAAGTGACCGGGAGAAAAAATCATGTCTAGTTTCGTACGAAACTTTTGTTCGTTTATTTGCTTGTCTGGTCGGAATGTTGGAAAAAGTCGTCGGCACTGACAAAAGGGCTCGACTTTATCCGTTCGAGGGACGGCACTCATGAATATGTAAGCTTAGTTCACCGTTATACTGTCTACCTGCGATTGGACCGTGAGCCAAACTTTGTACAAACTTGATCTTAGTTTAGTGTTAGCCTACTGTCATTCAAATTGCTGGGTTTCTGCGTCACTTGAATCTGAATGAGAGGGAGAAATATGATTTATGAATTTCATTTATTTGAGATGGTAAATAAATGTAAGAGGATTCTTCCGAAAATAACCTATCCACTGTTCTGGACAACAAAAGGCTTCCATGATACTTGGAAACAACACTTTCTATTTCAGAATTTAAAATCGCTTAAAACAATCATCATTATCATCATCAGCCTGCTTTCGTACAATGCTGAGCATAGGCCTCCCCAATTGCACGCCACTTAGCTTGATGTTCAGCTCTTCTCATCCAGCCAATGCCAAACCTGCGGATATCGCCAGTCCATCTAGCTGGAGTGTCCCTACACTACGTTTGCCTAGACGTAGTCTCCACTCTTTAAAACAATACTAACAATAAAACGTCTATGCCTTGGTTTCTCTGCTTCGAATAAAATACCAAAAATTTTGACCCAAATTTATTACTTATGCATTTTGTAGATAACAATTTTTGGATCAACTTTAACGGGAAAAACGCAATGATCATGTCAATAATGATAACGCTACATTTTATTGATATTTGAAGTAGAAACTATGGACTGGTTTAATGCAAGAATGTCATGGTGGGTGGGTTACGGTGACCGGTGACGTCATTCTGCCAAAATTATTAAGTTACCGCGGCCTCACAGGTAACACTCATACTGCAACAGTTGTAAACAGGTAGACTGTCTTTGAAATCACATATAGGTTTTTCTTTGGTCTGTTATTCCTTAAATTTTGTGGAGAAATGAAACAAGAAAACATTCTAATGATTTATATTTAGATCTTCAATTGGAATCAGAAAGCCTTTACAAAACGTCTAGTAGATAATTTTATAGAAAGGTAGAAGATACGTTGGAGACAAATAAATATTTTTTTAAAAATACTGTGTGGCATATCATCTATCATTTTGAATCTTCTGATTCTTAAACAGGTTGAAACACCCTCAAACATTAACTAGATATTTTAATATCCTGAATATCTTAACTCTTACCAAACTTTGACCTTTTTTCTATCTATAAAAGTATGAGTAGGTACCCGTGATTCAGTATTGCCACACAGCGTTAGGGAATGTTGCGAAATAAAGTATCTACTCTCATAGAACCGAGATCATTATCACAAGTAGGCGAAACCAGTCTGCTATGGGCAGTGGGCAGAAACGCAACTTTTTAATTACCAGTGAATATATTACGCGCGCTTATGGGTCCCTGGTAGCTCGCCAAGTGTGACGGCATACATAGCTTGGTATTCGGAGCTATGCACGACATGTAGCGTACTTTTATTGAATTCCAAATTAAATGGATGAGCTAAATATTGTGGAAGTTCTACAAGACAACATTTTTTTTGCTTTAAATAGGTCTGCGTTTGTGGAATTCCTTGTATTTTTTGCTATCACTTTGTATTTGATCGTTTAGTTTAAGATTGGTTATTTTCTTCTTGCTTGATTAGCTAAACTTACCATACCTACTACCACACGTACTCCACAGCATCAGGAATCGAATATTCTTGGCCACATTATCACAGTTAAACTTATCTACATTGGATTGGTAAGGACTATCAGACTACGCCACTTTATCATCAAATATATTTCTTGTATCAAGTCTTTATCTAACGTCTTTCACTACTAGAATATTTATAGCTTCTCCTAGATTTGCGTACAAAATTATATGAGCAAGTACCACAGTAAATGAACTTTAATTCGTTATAATTGCCGAGTCGCAGTGAGATCATTGTGCAACGTTGTAATTGACACTAGTTCTGTCAATGTAGGGGTTAACGGCCTCGGAACATTTTTGCACATTACAATGCCATTCATGATATGTTGACAATTTATATGATCGTACACTGCCGGCCAATTCGAAGACCTATTCAGAATCATTTATCTCGTTGCCTTGAATTACTTTAGTATCAAAACTTTCCGTAGACAGTCTCGTTGGTTGTGTGGCTTCAACTGTATCTACCTATTAAGTACTAGGTTCCACTGCGTTCTAAACTATTTACTCTTAGGTATTTTGGTTTTGAAATTCTGAGTAAATACATTACCGTTTCCTTATGAGCTCTGCTGGGGTCAGTTGTTGTTACAAAAAAATTTTTCATACAGCAATCGTAAATTTACGTAAGTAAGTATTTTTGAAAGGTCAAAACAGTGCAACTAAGATTTTTTTCCAAATCGCAGATTTTGACACAAAAAAAAAACAAAATAGATCGTTTGCCTGAATTATAAAAAGTCTCTTTTAACAATATGCCAATATTACCTTCTACAGTA